AGATGACTTCAGTAGATTCACATGAATATATTCCTTAACACAGAAATCTGAGGTATTGAACGTGTTCATTCAATTCAAAAAATTAGTTGAAATAAGTTCTCCAGTAAAATCAGAACATTGCAGTCTAATTGGGGAGATGAATATAGACCTTTTACTAAATTCCTTGCACAAGAAGGTGTAGAATTCAGGCACCTTTGCCCTTATACTTCATCACAAAATGGAAGAATTGAATGGAAACACAGACACATAACTGAAACGGGTCTAACTCTCTTAGCTAAAGCCAAACTGCCTCTAAAATACTGGTGGGAAGCATTCCTAACTGCCACTTACCTCATCAACATGATGCCAACACCAATACTCAAAATGGATTCTCCTTTCCAAACACTCTACAAGAGCCAACCTGACTACAAACATCTGAAAATTTTTGGATGTGCTTGCTTCCCTTGTGTAAGACCCTATCAACCACACAAATTCTGCTTTCATTCAACTAAATGCGTGTTCCTTGGTTACAGTAACTCACATAAAGGCTACAAATGCCTTAGCTCGGCAGGAAGAATCTATATTTCCAGACGTGTAGTATTCAATGAACTTGAATTTCCATTTGAATCTTTATTCTCCTCTCAAATTCAATCTATTGAACCTTAAATAATAGTGTCCTACTTTCAATCTTTCCTCCAACAAACCAACCTAAACTCAACTCCAAGTCCTGGTGATACAGCTCATCCTGAAGCAACCAATGCTCAGCATAACATCCCTCCTGGCTCAAGTAATACTCAGCATGAAGATTTCAATAATGATGAGGATGAAAACAGTGATAGCAGTGCTACCAGAAACTTGAATGATCCAGAAACTGGAGCCGAACTATCTCTAAATATAGAATCAGAATATCAATCAGTTGACAGAAATCAGCAAGGAGGAAACAAACATCCTATGACTACAAGGGCAAAAGCTGGAATTTTCAAACCAAAAATATACCTTAGTGAATCATTAGAACCTTCAGAACCAAAAAGTGGCACTGAAGCTATCTTTAACAAGGATTGGAAGAAGGCTATGGAGGAAGAGTTCAATGCTCTGATGAAAGCAAAAACCTGGAAACTTGTGCCATCATCACCATCATACAACATTGTTAGAAATAAGTGGGTCTTCAGAGTAAAAAGAAATGCAGATGGATCCTTTCAAAGGCTTAAAGCGAGACTGGTTGCAAAGGGCTTCCATCAGTCTCTAGGGATTGATTTTTGTGAAACCTTCAGTCCAGTCATTAAAGCTTCAACACTGAGGATCCTACTTACTCTTGCAGTTTCGAAGGGATGGACAATCAGGCAAATTGACATCAATAATGCCTTTTGAAATGGCTAACTTGAAGAAGTTGTTTACATGAATCAGTCGGAAGGATTCATAGACAAAACCAAACCAGATCATGTGTGCAAGCTGGAAAAGGCACTCTATGGATTAAAACAAGCACCTAGAGCTTGGTATGAAAAATTGAAAACAACACTGATGCGTTGGAAATTTAGACAATCAGCTGCTGACACTTTTCTGTTTTTCTTCAAAAATGAAAGATAGATCATCTTTGCATTAATATATGTAGATGATATCGTGGTAACAGGTAATGACACAAAATTGGTACAAAACTTCATAAAGGAATTGGATAAAACGTTTGCACTGAAGGATATGGGGCAATTGCATCATTTTCTCGGAATTGAAGTGATTTGGCATGACTCAGGTATTCTTCTCACTCGGACAAGGTACATCACTGAATTGCTCAAGAAATTCGAAATGCAGAACATTAAGCCTTGCATTACTCCCATACATGCTGGAAAAACCTTATCAAAGGCTGATGGAGAAACACTCCAAGACCCTTAGCTTACAGAAGTGTAGTAGGAGGACTACAATACCTCTCACACACGCGGCCAGATATCACTTTTTCTGTCAACAAGCTTAGCCAGTTTCTTCAGTCACCAACCACCTTGCACTGGCAAGCCTTGAAAAGAGTACTGAGATATCTGAAGGGAACTATGAATCAAGGATTATGGATACAAAGAAGTGAAAGACTAAATTTAAGTGGCTTTTCAGAAGTAGATTGGGCCTCCTGTCATGACAGGAGATCAACGGCAGCCTATTGCATCTATTTAGGAAATAACTTGGTAACTTGGTCATCAAAGAATAGCATGTGGTTGCTAGATCAAGCACAAAATCAGAATACAGAGCTCTCGCCTCAACAGCCTCTAAAATCGCATGGATTCAATCCTTGTTTAAGGAGCTAGAATTGCCTTAGGGAACTACTCCAATACTATGGTGTGATAACATGAGTGCAGGGGCATTAGCGGCCAATCCAGTCTACCATGCCAGGACTAAACATATCGAGCTGGATATTCATTTCGTCAGGGATAAAGTTCTTGCAAAGGAATTAGAAGTAAAATATGTACCTTCTTCGAATCAAATTGCTGATTTGCTGACAAAAGGTGTCACACATTCAAAGTTTGCCTTTCTAAAAAACAAGTTCGGAGTTACCTCAGTACCATCCAGTTTGAATGGGGGTGTGAAGAATGATACTTAAGTGCCACCTCACTAGATACATCATCAAGGTATTGTTTGGCTAGCTCAACTTCTCTCTCCTTGCTGTCATTCTTCAGTTGTACCGGCCTCAGTGGAGCAGCAACATTGTTGTGAAATATATTCCAACATTTCCCTTTATTCATGGATCTAGCTACAGCTGTATAATTCTAGAACATTCCTTGTAATCTATATATAGCATGTAACCAAATCAATAGATAATAAGAAGATTACGATTTAGATTATTTGCTTTTCAAACTTGACTTAACTTTAGCAAGGGACAGACGGCCCTGTTTGGTCTACATTATTTATTTATTTTCATTCTTCTACTCATTTTCAATTACACATTTTTCAATAAAATAATATTTTCCATCATATCAATAACTTTTCCTTCTTTTTCAACCACATATTCATCGTCACATCAACAGTAAAAATGCATTCTTACCTTCAAAATGTGCACCAAACGGGGGCATAGTGTTTTTTTCTTCCCCTTAACGCATATACCTTATTCAGCAGCAACATTATATACCAGTTTAAACTCGTTAAATTTAGCATCTCTCCTCTGCTGTATGACCCACCTGCCTAGCTACAATAAAATCAAATGAAGGATTTTATATATGCGACTGTATTTACCAGCATGGAGGGCCTCAAAATTGGAATATTCAAATCAATACCAATTCTGAATCACAATTGAATTTAAAAAAAACAATCAGAAAGGGGCACACCTGAGCCAAGAACGATTTTTTTTTTTTT